AGCATCTGCAGGGCCGCGGCGTCGAGGCCCTCGCGCAGAAGGTCTTGGTAGGGGACCCGCCCGACGGGTTCGATGAAGTTGAGGAGGTCGCGAAAGCGTGCGCCGTCAAGCTTGTCATCCACCACGCCGAAGTGGGCCTGTTCAAGGAAGCAACAAACCTCGCGGGCGACCTCGCCGTCCACGTCCTCCTGACCATGGTCGAGGACCCCGCTGGCGGACGCGTCGAGCACTACGACCTCGTTGACTTCCACGGAGAGCAGTCGGACGGGCACAGCGCCGACGTGGTGGACGAGGCGGCTAGCGGGCGTCCGCTCGCCCGGTCCCTGAGCGCGGAGCTGGACGAGGCCATGGGCGCTTCGTGGCCACCCCCCTCGGACGGCGCGCTGTGGGCTGCCCTGGATGCGCACAGCGACGTGGAGGTGACACACGGCAGCCCGCCGGCTGTGTATGTTTTGGCTCGCGACGGAGATCGGCAGGCGCTGGCAGGCCCCGCTGCGCTGGAGGAGAGCTCGCCCATGCCGCTGGAGGACAGCTCGCCCGCGCCGCCCCCAAAACGCCCGCGCTGCCAGGAGCGGGCGCTGCAGGAGGAGACCCTGGCCCAGGGCGTCCCCAGCTTCTCGCGTCATTGCGCGGCCTCCGGGGCTCTGTGGGCCTCCAGAGGCAGGCGATCCTGCAGAAGCTGAGTTCGCCATGGGCCAGGGGTCGCCTTTGGCAACGCCCTATAGGAGGTGGCCCACGGCAGCCCGCCGGCTGCGGATGTTCTGGCTCGCGACGGAGATCGGCAGGTGCTGGCGGGCCCCAAGGCGTTGGAGGAGAGCTCGCCCATGCCGCTGGAGGAGAGCTCGCCCGCGCCGCCCCCCAAACGCCCGCGGTGCCAGGAGCGGGGGCTGCAAGACGAGGGGCTGCCGTCGGAACCCACGCAGCCCGAGGGGATGGAGGCCGAGGAACGCCCGCCCACGCAGGCCGAGGAAGGCGAGGGCGATGCTCGGGAGGGAGAGCGCCCGCTTGCGCCCCCCGCCCCCGCGGGGGCGGGCCCGGCGGAGGAGAGCCCGCCCGCGGCGCTGGAGGGTCCGCCGCCCAAGCGCCCGCGGTGCGAGGAGCGGGGGGTGCAATAGGTGTCCTTGGCCCAGGGCGACCCCGGCTCCCCCGGTTTTGTCGGGCTCCCTTGAGCTTTGTGGGCTTCGAGAGGGGGTTCTTGGAGGCCATGCGGGCTTCCCTGCAGGAGCTGAGGTCGCCCCGGGCGAGGGTTTTTTTTCCCGTCCTACAGGAAGCGGCGCCGCCCAAGCCTGTCGGGGGCGGCTTCCAGGAGTACTGCGTCTTGCATCGCAAGCAGCCAAGGCATTCCGGCTTGAGCGGCAGCGCGGTGCTCGTTCGCCTCTCGGAGGAGTGGAAGGGTCTCACGGACGCCGAGAAGGCTCCCTTCAAGGAGGCGCACGAGCAGGCGATGCAGGCGTGGCGCTCCGCGCGCGCCGCCGAGCCGCGGACAGCCGCCGCGGCCACCGCCGAGGCGCCGCGGAGGCCCGTCGGGGGCGGCTACCAGCAGTTCGCGGCCCAGTGGAGGCGAGGCGATCACGGCGGGGTGTCGGCGGCGGCGAAGTGGCGGGAACTCTCGGCCGAGCAGAAGGCCCCCTTCAGGGAGGAGTGCGACCGCGCCGCGCAGGTGTGGCAGGCCGCTCGCGAAGCCGAGCGCCTTGCGGCCGATGGCGGCGCGGCTGCGCCGCGCCGCCCTGTGGGGGGCGGCTACCAGCAGTTCGCCGCCCATTGCAGGCGAGGCGGCCACGGCCGGGAGGCGGTGGCGGCGAGGTGGCGGGAACTTTCAGCCGAGGAGAGGGCCCCCTTCAGAGAGGAGTACGACCGCGCCGTGGAGGAGTACAACGCGGCCATGGAGTCGTGGAGGGCAGCCCCCGGCTCGGCGGCCGCCGGCGCGAGGGCGCCCCCTGCGCCCGCGGAGCCGCTTGTGGTGCCCCCTGCGCCCGCGGAGCCGCCTGTGAGGCCGCCCCCCGCGGTTCCGCTCATCGAGCTGTACCAGGACCGCGTCCTCGCCCGGGCCAACGGGTTAAGCATCAGGCAGCCGTTCATCTCCAGGTTCGACCCGTCCAGGCCGCAGGGGACCGTGAAGACAGCCGAGCTCAGGAAGAATCAGTCTCGCAAGCAGCGCGGCGACGAGGTGCTCCTGTTCGAGTGCAACACCGACTGGCGCCTGGACGGCGAGGCTGCTTGGTGTCTCCTGTTCAAGGCCAAGTTCTGCCGGAGCGAGGCCGTCCCGCGCTCCCGCATCGACGACCCCGAGCACTACGAGGCCCACCAGGTGACCCCCACTGAGGTGGCCCACTACTTGCAGGACTTCGCGGACGACAAGGAGGCGCATCTGTGGCACTTCTATGACGTCACCCCCGTGTTCCCGCCCGTGCTGAGGAAGGTCGCGCCGGGTGAGCAGACGTGGGTATTTTGCACGCCCACGCAGCTGTTGCCCCTCGGTAGGGGCACCCAGCTGATCTGAGAGTGAGCGCGGGCGCTTGCCATTTTCGGGGCATGCTGCGCTCGCAGATCGTCGCGGCGCGGGCGCATGCGTTGGTTCTCGGGGCTGATGATAGCACGGTCGTGACCAGTCGCCCCCGACTGGGCTGGGGACCGGCCAGCGCAAGTTTCCGCATCGGCCCGGCGGGCGTGGGGGCCCGCCGGCCCGCTGGGGCCACCCGGCGAGGAGTTCGCGAGATGTCCTCTGCGAAAAAAGAAGATCAAACAAACAGAGAACATTTCAGAACGGGAGCCAAGAGGCTCCAAGAGGCTGCCTGAAAAGGCCCGAGTAGCCCTCTATCCTCGACGCCCGAAAGGACCGAGCGCCATGGCCGCCCCCCGCCCAGGAGCCCCGCAGGCCCATCTTGGATCCAGGATTGGCCGCGTCGGGCCGTCTTGCCCTCGACCCGCTCCTCCGCAATCTCTTCGGATCAAGCTTGCTTCCAGGGCCGCGGGCTTTCGCGGCGCGGGGGCGCCCGCCCGGGCAGAGATGAGCGTGGTAGTTCTGGATGAAGAGCTGGCCGGCGAGGTGGCCACCGCATGCGCGGCGGCGCCCGGTGCGGCAACTGGGGGCGCGATAGTCGTTGATGTGGAACCGCCCCGCGCACCTCCTCGGGGAACCTTGCTCGCCTTCCTGCGCCGGGCTCAAGGCGCTGCTGACGAGGCGGAGAAGCAGGAGGGGCCGCCCGCGGGCCGGAGAAAGACAGGCGGGAAAGTGAAAGGCACCCCCGACCAGACGATCCACATGAAGTTGGCTGTTGTGGCCGAGTGCAGGAGCGTAGTGGAGCAGCGGCTACGGAAGGACCACAGATGGAACTACGAGGTGTGGAGCAACTTGCTCGGGTGCACCGTATGGTCGCACCAGGTGTTGAAATGGCACGACGTGATTGTGGAGGACCGGTGGGGCGAGATGGTGCAGGATCCGCAGCTGGTGTCCAAGCATGGCGCAGAGTGGTTCATGAAGCGTAAGCAAGTCCCCCCTGAATGGACCGACATGCTGAACAAGGAGAGGGGCATTTTAACGCCAGCGCCGCGGAAGGGCAAGCAGAAGTACGAGGAGTTGCCGGGAGATCACGGGGAGGCCGCCAGGCGAGTGCTGGCGAACATCAAGGCGGCGGTGGATGAGCAGCGACTCGATAGTGAAGACGCCGACATGAACGACGTGCAAGCCACATTGCAAGGGCTTATCGACGAGGAGAACGCGGCCTTGCTCGCAAAAGGGTGTTCGCCCCTTCCCCACAAGAACTCGGTGGGATGGGCACACGGCCTGATGGGGCAGATGGGGTGGCGCAAGCGCAAGGTCGGGAACGCCGAAGACAAGGACATTGACCCTGATGATGAGGAATCCTTCAAGCAGTACTTCTCCCGCGTCGCGGAGAAGCACGGCATCAAGCCCCCGCTGTGGATCGCGCACGACGAGTTCAAGGAGTACTTCTACAAGTGGGGCCAGGGCAAGTTCGTTCTGACGACCCCCAAGGAGAGGGAGGAAAAGCGGATCGTCGGCCAGCTGAAGCGAGTGCACACAGCCCGCGGGTCTGTCACCATGGGTCTGCTGCTCTCGCCCACGATGGGCGTCCTCAGGGCTTACATGCTTCTGCCCAAGATCGCGAAGAAGAAGAAGGACACCATTGAGAAGCAGTTCGGCTCCCTCGTCACAGTGGGCGTCAACGGCACTGGTAGCATGCGGTGCGAAACGCACGTCGACTGGTTCCTGCCCTCCGTGTACGGCCCCGCAGTGACCCGGGCAAGGCGGCTGCAGAGGCTCCCGCGCGACGCGCCGTCGATCATGGTCGAGGACTGGGCCCCCGGGCATTTGGCCGACAAGGACACGCTGCTCAAGAGGACCGACCCGGAGAGAGCAGCGGGGTGGAAGGAGAAGCGAACTGCCGCGTTGCAGGAGCTGCGCACGTTCCGGGCCATCATTCCTCGGAAGGGCACGCCGTACCTGATGATGAACGACCACCTGCACCAGGTTGTGCACAGCGAGATCAAGGAGGAATTGCGGGAGATGATAGGCAAGCAGCGGGACATGCGGAAGCGCCCGCGCGGGGGGGACAAGAAGAGGTTCATGACGCCGGGCGGTTCGCGGAGGGGCCCAGACGAAGTGATGATGGCCCGGGCTCTTTTCCGCGTGGCCAGCCGCATGTCCCCGGCGAAAGTGATGTCGACCTACGTGAAGCTCGGCTACGTCTCCAAGGAGGAAGCCCCAGCTTTGCTGAATGCGACGCCCAGCGTCGTGAGCGAGGCCCTCTCGTGGCTGGACGGCCGCATCGCGGAGATAGGCCGGAGGCGCGCGAACGGCACCACGGACGCGGGCCACGATTCCACCAAGATGACCGCGCGGTTGCGCGAGCAGGGCAAGAAGTTACAGGATAACTGGGCCCCGCAGACGGGCGCGCGTCTCCAGCAGGCTCTCGGCGGGTACGTCTCCGACGACGGCGCCGACCCAGCCGCCGACGCGGCGTGCCAGGCCGAAGCCTCGGTGGTCAAGGCGAACAAGCTCAAGGCGATCCCGAAGGACCAGGCGCCCCTCCTCGCACAGGTTCGCGCCACGTGCTTGGCGAAGGGCGAGCGGGCGCAAGCGGCGGGCCGCCGGTTGCGACAGAAGAGAATCGACCAGATGACGTCGCAGGGCTTGGGCGCCCCCGACGGCGGCGCCGCGGGCTCTGGGAGCTCGGGCGCCGAGGCCAGCCCGGCGCCCCCGCCTGCCGCGGCGCCCTCCGCGGCCGCGCTGGCCAGCGCGGCGCCGGCAGCGGCCGCGCCTTTTGCGGCAGCGGCGGCGGCGCCTGCCGCGCCCGCGGGCTCGGGCGCCTCGGCCAGCTCGGTGGGCCCACCGTCCGCGGGCCTCCCCGCGGCTGTTGGCCCGGCGCCGGCGGCGGCCGCGCCTGCCGCGGCGGCGGCGGCCGCGCCTGCGGCGCCCGTGACGGCCAAGACGTTGCCGCAGCCGCACGTGTGGCAAGGCGCCCTCGCGAAGATCCTGGGCAAATCCGCCGACGACGGCGACTTCAAGGATTGGGCCGCCAAGGAGCTGAAGGACGCTAAGAGCTTGTGGACGCGCAGCGTCTGCGAGCAGGGCTACGAGGGGAGCTTTGGCAACTTCTTGTGGGAGACGCTCGACATGTTCAAGCGCCTGCCGCAGGAGGACAGGGCGACGCTCCACGGCATCGCCACCGACCGCCACGCCGAATTCCCCGCCATCGTTGGTGGCGGGAGAGGGAGGGGGCGCGGCCCCGGCCGCGGCCGCGGCCGCGGCCGCCGCGGCCGCGGCTAGTGCCGCCACGGGGCCCAGATCGGGTGGCCGTCGAGTGGCCCGCGGCTTATCCCGCCACGGGGCCCAGATTGCGGGTTTCTATCGGAGCGGGGTCGGTCTGATGTCAACAGGCTTTGGGGCGGCTTTTTGCGGCGCTCCGCGGAGCGTCATGCGAGCAGTCTACTCAACTCTCCTCCTGCTGCTCTTCCTCCTCTCCTTCCTCCTCCTGCTGGTGCTCCCCCTCCTCCTCCTCCTCCTCCTCCTCCTCCTCCTCCTCCTCCTCCTCCTCCTCCTCCTCCTCCTCCTGGGCCCCCAGTGCGACAGTGCACTGGGGATGATGTCTTTTGCGGGAGTGCACTGCGAGAAGTGCGACAGTGCACTGGAGATGATGCCTTCCTCCAGCGCTCCCAGTGCGACAGTGCACTGCGATGCCGCAGGATGAGTGCCAACACCGCCTACTCGTCACCCTCCTTGACCGTATTGCAAGTCTTGACGCTTCGCGTATCCCCACCAGCCCATCTAGCAACGATGCCCATACGAGTTGCCTTGATCACGGGAGTAGGGGAGTACACAGAGAACCAAAGGGTTGGGGATGCCGTCGCGCCCCTTTCGTGGGAGCCTCTCACAGGGGCCTCTTGGGGACCTTTCGCGGGAGGGGTTCGGCGAGTGGGTCTGGAATGTACCGGGGTGCTGAAAATATACGTTTTGTTTGGAAAAACACAAGAAAATAAACCATGTCATTTTCGGTCGCAAGCTTGAAATGACATAGTTTATTTTCTTGTGTTTCCATGTTTTTCTTTAGTGTTTCGATGGTCTCTGTTGGCCTTCGCGGGGGTTTCTCGGAGCCTGCGCGGGGGCATGAAGGGAGTATTGGTCGCCATCTTCGGGGGCAGTCCGTTCGCGCCCCCCGCATTGGGCCCCTGTTTGGGCCGTCTTGGGGCCTTCTTGGGGGAGATCGACCAAAGAGGGGGGGTCCTTAATTAGCCCCCCACCCCCTCGGGAGCCCCAACATTCACCTCTTGGACCCCTCTTGGAGCGCTCTTGGGGCGTTCTTGGGCGCCCTTGGGGCCGTATTGGGGCTCTTGGGCCTGTCTTGGGGCTTTCGGAGCTCGTTGGCCACTTGGAGCCGTCTTGGGGCGGCCTTGAAGCCTCTTGGGGCATTGTGGGAGCCATCTTGAGACATCTTGGGGTATCGTAAGCCATCTTTGAGGTCATCTTGAACTCACCGAGGCCCTCTTGGAACCGTCTTGGGCTGTCTTGGACGCCCCAACTACCCGGAGAACCTTCCGTCCAGGTCCAGGGGAGGGGGTAGAGGGAGGGGTAAACCCCTCTTGGAAGGGGGGTGGAAGAGAAGCCGCTCTAGACCTTTGCGTTGTACTGCGTCGACACACATTGCATGCCATTGCCTGGGCTGTGTACGGTGTTCCTGCTGCTGCGCCTCCTCGTGGTCCTCCAGACTGCTGCTGCTGCAGCTGCTCCCCCTCCTCCCTACTGCTTCTGCTCCTCTTCGCCCGTCTCCCCCTGGACATCTCCCCGTCCTCGGCCTCCTCCTCCTCCTCCTCCTCGTCCTCGTCGTCGTCCTCCTTCTCGAGCTCCTTCCCCATCGCTGTCCTCCTCTCCCGGGCATGGGCTCGGCCGCTCAGCGTGACATGACAGTAGTATGGCTAAGCAGTGTTGTCCACCATCCCCATTGTTACTGACAGACACGTGGCTTCGGCCACATTTCAATCGAA